GTCTGGTGTTGGCCAATCACGCACTGCTTTCATCTTGTCAGGATCAGTTCCCACAACATGCTAACTTACATTGTGACCTAAGTAAACACTTCTTTCTGGAACTTGTGGCATTTCCTGGGATGGAGTTCGAGGTTTGCTGCTTTCAAATGTTTAAATACTTCCTCTAGCCGGGATACTTCCTCATCAAATTTTGCTGCAAACACAATGACATCATCCAGGTACACTAGGGCTATCCTTTAAGTCCAGAGTTCAAAACTACCTGGCTCCACTTAGGGCATCAAGAGTATCATCAATTCTTGGCAGTGGGTATGAGTCCTTTTCGGTTATACCATTAAGAGCCATGAAGTGCACACAGCAACTTTGGGTCCCATCCTTCTATTGGACTTACACAACGGGAGCTGACAAGGGACTATGTGATTTCCCGACTATCCCTTCTTTAATTAGGCCATCCATGACCTTCTCCATCTCTTGTTGCTTTGCCGGAGCAATTCTCCTTGGAGGGATCTTTATTGGACAGTGATTGCCTGTGTTTATTCTGTGCTCCACAAGGTCTGTGCAGCCAAGGACATGATCTCCTTTTGAAAAAAAAAACGTCTGTATAATTCTCCAAAAGTTCCTTAGTCTGAAGAGCCTGTGATGATGACAAATGGACAATGCTCTTCTTATAGAGGTCAGTTAAATATTCTGGGAGAGAATGTCCTTTCTTTATGGTTGTATTTCTTGATTTAACATTGACTAGCTCTACCTTCTGGCACACACTCAACAATGCCCCTTCCTTACGTATTTGCTCACATTTAGAGAAATTAGCCACTGTTATGGGTACTACTTGATGACCTGCCACAAGTAACCTTCCAGTCTTCACATCCGCTGGCCTCGATAGGGTTTTTCCACTTCTTCCACAAGCATCGGGCTTCCTTGGGGATGTTCTTTTATTCTACCCCAAATTATCTTCTCTGACATAGGGGTATTGTAGTTGACTTCAGTGCTGTGACATGCAAATCAACAGAAGCAGCAACACTTACCAGAATTTGGCCTTTGTTGTTCCCAAACGTCATTTTATCAAAATTAACTACACACTTCCTCGGTAGTAAGTAGTCCAACCCTAGTATGCATTGGTCTTCAATGTCAGCCAAGTATACTTTGTGTCTGTTCTTCATGCCCATGAGCTCAATAGTTACCCACACTGGTCCCCACAACCTTGCATAATGTTCTATCACACCACATAGCTTCTGTATGGCTTCTGGTACTTCTAGCACCTTGATACTCACAAGGGTTTGCTGAGATGCTGAATCTATGACAAAGTCGCACTTTTGGCCATCCAGCTTTCCTGTCACGTAGACACCATGTGTGCTTGCCATTTTACACTTAGCTGTTGGGACTTTCACTATGAGGGTTGGTGGGCGTCCCTCAACACCAACCACTACTGATTTTCCGAAGCTGACTTATTGGTAGTATTCTTCTTACACTGGCTCCTCCTATGTCCTTGCTCTCCACAGTTCCAACAACCTTTCTGTGTAGCAGCCTTTCCTGCCATGGCATCTTCCCTATTTTGAAGTTGCCGGCATTGAGCTCTCTTGTGCCCAGGTTTGTTACAGTGCCAGCAAAGTCCCTCAAACTTCTCTGAAAGCTGACCTTTTCTGGCCATGGATCCTGATGACTATACCAACCTTGGTAACTCTGTGCTGGACTTAATGTAGGATTCAAATTCAAGAGCTCTTGCCATTGCATCCTGCATAGTAGAGGGGTGTGCTTGCTTCACTTGTATTTTTAGTTGTGGACTGTGCAAGGCATCTACAAACTGATCCCTCAGCAACAGCCTGAGGACATCGGGTGGTGCAGTTGGGTAGGCCTTCTGTGCCATACTTTCCAAATCCTGTGCCAGCTCTTGCAGGCTCTCCTCTTTAACACGGACTCTTGTCCTAAACCTAGCCCTGTAGACTTTGGACTGATTTTGAGTTCAATACCTGAGTTCTGGAGCAGCTACCAGTGATCTATA